GGTAAATTTACTGTGGTTATTGAACCACAACAACCCTGTGTATTTCAGTGAACAAGTTGTGCAAGGTTATGTTGAAGTTATTGTAGAAGAACCAATTCCTTGTAGAGGTATGTGTACTCTTTTGCTTTTGTAAGTGCATATTTTGCAATATACATAAAGTTAAAATGAGTTGGATACCTATATATGTGCAAACACTTTGCTGTCTAGGGAAATTTATATGCAAGTGGCCTATATTCCAATGTTCCAATAGATATAATTATTAATATGATTGTGATTATGGATGTAGATATTTTTGGGCTGGTGATAATTGATAAATCATATTCTTCAGAGGTAGAAAGATAATGAATCCTGTTTATATTACAGGTATAAAAGTGACGTGCAAAGGTATAGGCAAAGTGTCGTGGACTGAAAAACGTGGAAAGAGGAGCGTTACATATTCTGCGGCAGAAGAATATTTCCGTGAAACCCTTGAGATTTGGTCTGGTGTTGGTATGTGTGTTTTTTTCTTCCCGTCTTATTATTTTCTGGCTTGTTTCATTTTTCTTGTATATTTTAGTTCTACTATTATTTTTTTTTATTTTTGTTTTTTTCTCATATGTTCCTCCTTTTTCTTTCTTTTTTTTTTCAGTGGCATTTTCCTCATTCATGTCTTATTTGTACGTCATGTCTAAATTGTCTTTCTTAATTCTTATTTATTTATTTTATGTCTCTCATCTTTTGTGTGTGTGGGGGGGGAGGGGGGTTCTTGCTGAAATTCCACTTAATATCCATATGTTTTATCTTCATATTATCCTCCTTCTTTGCTTTCTGCTTCTTCTAATCCTGCTCATTTAAGAACCTTTTATTTTTGAGTTTGTTATATGTTTATAAGCTTAAGCTGTGATTTTAAATGTTGGCAAGACATAGCATAGCTCAAGATTTTGCTTGCTTAAACTTCACCATATATAGTTAGTGAATTATATATCTGTTCCTATTTGCCTTTTTTGTATAGATGTAGACATATATATATGCATATGTAGATAGATAAAGATAAAAGGTATATAGGTATATTGTTACAGATATAGATAGGTAAACCCACACTCCCACTTACACAAACACTAATGCTAGCACCAACACTAACACACACTCTCACACTCTTGAACACCTGTGCACGCACGCACGCACGCAAGCACGCACGCAAGCACGCACGCAAGCAAGCAAGCAAGCAAGCAAGCAAGCAAGCAAGCAAGCAAGCAAACAAGCACCCACCCACCCACCCATATATATATATATATATATATATATATATATATATATATATATATATATAATATATGTATGTATGTATATATGTAGATGATTTTATATATGTAAAAATATATATTTATATCTATATCTATATATATATGTATGTATGTATATGTAAATGTGTATATATGTATATATATGTATATATATATATAAATATGTATATATACACATATATATGTCTATATATGTATTTATGTGGGTGTGTTTGTATATAATTGTATATATAATTGTATATATAAACCCATCAACTATGCCACATCCATATCCATACTACAACTAGTGTTGTAGTATGGATATACAGCACTTCAACACTACAGGTAGGCTATTCCATACCACAAATGCTGCTCTCTCACTTAACAGTCAAATTGTACTTTTTGGCCATATTGCGAATTACCAGCTATCCAACTTCACTACAGACACGGATGAGATGTTCCCTGCTGGCGAACACAGATTCCCCTTCGCCTTCCAGATCCCTAAGGACATCCCATCCTCTTTTGAGACTCTGACTGGCAAAGTGAGGTATCAGGTCAAGGCTGTGGCTGACAGACCGTGGCAGTTTGATGACTCGACCAAAGCATTTTTTTCAGTCAACCACCTCTATGATCTGAGTTCTGACAGCAGTGCAATGGTGAGATTTTTGTTGTTTGTTTTTGAGGGGGGGCTGAGGGAGATTTTAAAGGTTCCTCACAACAATAGGTTTGATTTGCCCAAACAGATCGTCTAGGCATGTGCTTTTATAACTTTTGTTAGCGTACGTGGATGATGAAATACTACCCCAGGCTCAGGTGTAGCTATCAGCTGGATCCCTAGTTTTACCAGTAGTTCCCAATGGTCTAATGTAAGAACTTGTTGCAAAACACATCAAGATGTGAACAAAATGGCAGTATTAGGACCTTTAAGAACATAGAAAATAGAAATGCTTTAGTCATTAAAAAACTTATCAATAAGCTTTTTTTTTTTTTCTTCAGTGGCATTTTCCTCATTCATGTCTTATTTGTACGTCATGTCTAAATTGTCTTTCTTAATTCTTATTTATTTATTTTATGTCTCTCATCTTTTGTGTGTGTGTGGGGGGAGGGGGGTTCTTGCTGAAATTCCACTTAATATCCATATGTTTTATCTTCATATTATCCTCCTTCTTTGCTTTCTGCTCCTTCTAATCCTGCTCATTTAAGAACCTTTTATTTTTGAGTTTGTTATATGTTTATAAGCTTAAGCTGTGATTTTAAATGTTGGCAAGACATAGCATAGCTCAAGATTTTGCCTGCTTAAACTTCACCATATATAGTTAGTGAATTATATATCTGTTCCTATTTGCCTTTTTTGTATAGATGTAGACATATATATATGCATATGTAGATAGATAAAGATAAAAGGTATATAGATATATTGTTACAGATATAGATAGGTAAACCCACACTCCCACTTACACGAACACTAATGCTAGCACCAACACTAACACACACTCTCACACTCTTGAACACCTGTGCATGCATGCACGCACGCACGCACGCACGCACGCAAGCAAGCAAGCAAACAAACAAGCAAACAAGCACCCACCCACCCACCCATATATATATATATATCTATATATATATGTATGTATGTATATGTAAATGTGTATATATGTATATATATGTATATATATATATATATAATATATGTATGTATGTATATATGTAGATGATTTTATATATGTAAAAATATATATTTATATCTATATCTATATATATATGTATGTATGTATATGTAAATGTGTATATATGTATATATATATATATATATATATATATATATATATCTATATATATATATATGTTTGTGTATATAAACACGTATATGTTTATATGTATATATACACCTATATTTGTATACATATAGACCTAAACATAGAAATAGAGATAGATATTACATATGTGTTTGTATTTATGATTATTGCTAACATGAAGCTTTCTTCACAGGTTGTCACAATGGGATTTGGTAAATTTACTGTGGTTATTGAACCACAACAACCCGTGTATTTCAGTGAACAAGTTGTGCAAGGTTATGTTGAAGTTATTGTAGAAGAACCAATTCCTTGTAGAGGTATGTGTACTCTTTTGCTTTTGTAAGTGCATATTTTGCAATATACATAAAGTTAAAATGAGTTGGATACCTATATATGTGCAAACACTTTGCTGTCTAGGGAAATTTATATGCAAGTGGCCTATATTCCAATGTTCCAATAAATATAGTTATTAATATGATTGTGATTATGGATGTAGATATTTTTGGGCTGGTGATAATTGATAAATCATATTCTTCAGAAGTAGAAAGATAATGAATCCTATTTATATTACAGGTATAAAAGTGACGTGCAAAGGTATAGGCAAAGTGTCGTGGACTGAAAAACGTGGAAAGAGGAGCGTTACATATTCTGCGGCAGAAGAATATTTCCGTGAAACCCTTGAGATTTGGTCTGGTGTTGGTATGTGTGTTTTTTTTCTTCCCGTCTTATTATTTTCTGGCTTGTTTCATTTTTCTTGTATATTTTAGTTCTACTATTATTTTTTTTATTTTTGTTCTTTTCTCATATGTTCCTCCTTTTTTTTTTTTTTTTTTTTTCAGTGGCATTTTCCTCATTCATGTCTTATTTGTACGTCATGTCTAAATTGTCTTTCTTAATTCTTATTTATTTATTTTATGTCTCTCATCTTTTGTGTGTGTGGGGGGGGGAGGGGGGTTCTTGCTGAAATTCCACTTAATATCCATATGTTTTTATCTTCATATTATCCTCCTTCTTTGCTTTCTGCTTCTCTAATCCTGCTCATTTAGAACCTTTTAGTTTTGAGTTGTTATATGTTTATAAGCTTAAGCTGTGATTTTAAATGTTGGCAAGACATAGCATAGCTCAAGATTTTGCTTGCTTAAACTTCACCATATATAGTTAGTGAATTATATATCTGTTCCTATTGCCTTTTTTGTATAGATGTAGACATATATATATGCATATGTAGATAGATAAAGATAAAAGGTATATAGGTATATTGTTACAGATATAGATAGGTAAACCCACACTCCCACTTACACAAACACTAATGCTAGCACCAACACTAACACACACTCTCACACTCTTGAACACCTGTGCAGCAGCACGCACGCACGACGCAAGCACGCACGCAAGCACGCACGCAAGCACGCACGCAAGCACGCACGCAAGCACGCACGCAAGCACGCACGCAAGCACGCACGCAAGCACGCACGGAAAAGGCTAAACAGGTGAAATAGGTAGTTCTTGATAACTGGCTATTTGGTGATTAAGAACTTGTAGAGCCATCTATGTGTAAATACAATAAATAAACGTGTATCAAAGTGGGTATGGCATCTATTCTTGCCATCCGCGGCGAATGGGTTAATCTACAGTGTTCTAAAATGAATAAGTAAATTTTTGGAGAAAGTAATGAATAATAATTCACTAGAAAAAAAAAACACACACACATACACAAACTTATTCTCATAGGGATATTAGAAAACTCAATATGAACTTTGGAGATATTTGTTCTTATGTTTAGTATTCATATATCCTCAAATATACTAATATTATATATCAAAAGAAAGCTAAAAACATCTGTTTTGTGCATCTTGTCCAAATAGAATGGTTTCTACTATATATGAGGAAATAAATATATCAATGTTTTCCAGAATTGTTATTTTTTTCAACATTTCAGACATTGAAATTCACTATATGACAAATTACATCAATCATGTATAAAACTAAGTTTTACAATACATTTTGGCATCCATACTGACATAGATACATATATACTTTTTCTCTTCTCTATTTTTCAAAAAATCCTTTATTTTATCAAAGACAAAATCTAAAAAAAAAAAAAGGTACTAGACAGGCCTGATCCTTTCAGATCATCAGCTACATCACCAGCTCCAAAACAAAGACAGAAAACCGCACAGTGCAACGCGTCTACCGACCGCAGATTGAGAACGGGGAAACTGATGAGTGGTCAGAGGTTCCTCTCCCTGTGCCTGCAGTCACAGCTAGCCATCTCATGCACTGTAATATCATTGATGTGAATTACTTCTTGATTGTAAGTCCTTTCCTATAACCAGAAATGAAGAGGGGAATTTGAGTTGGCCATTAAGGTAGAGGAAGAAAGAGTGGGAGTGAGAGGGGGAGCAGGCAGAAGGAGAAAATAGAGGAGGAGGAGAAGGAGGAGGAGGGGAGGAGAAAGAGAGGGAAATAGAGGAGGAAGATGGGAGGAGAAAGAGAGGGAAATAGAGGAGGAAGAAGGGGGAGAAGGAGAGGGAAATAGGGGAGGAGAAGGAGAGGGAAATAGAGGAGGAAATAGAGGGAGGAGGAGAGGGAAATAGAGGAGGAAGAAGGGGGAGGAGAAGGAGAGGGAAATAGAGGAGGAAGAAGAGGGAGGAGGAGAGGGAAATAGAGGAGGAAGAAGGGGGAGGAGAAGGAGAAGGAAATAGAGGAGGAGGAGAAGGAGAGGGAAACAGAGTAAGAAGAAGGGGAAACAGGCAGGAAATAGTGGGAGTTGGATTTGGAGGAGGAAGAAGGAGTGGAGAGAAAGAGTAGTAAAGAGAGGGAAAAAATGAGGAAAGGGAGAAAAATGGGGAAGAAAAGGGGGAAAAAAGGAAGAGGAAAAGAAGACAGGAATAAGGAAGAAATAGACAGAGAAAAAAAGGCAAAAGAGAATAGGAGAGAGTAGTAGTATGCAGGAGAGGGAAACAGGAATAGGAAGAAATGTTGGGAGTATAGGTAAGAGGAAAAATTAGAAGAGTTGAAGAGGAAAAGAGAAAGAGGAATGTAGAAAGAGAGAGAGAGAACATGAACAAGAGATTGAGACATAATGTAATTTCTGATGATAACTGAGGGTTTTTATTCTATTGTGGGTGTGAATATCACAAAATAGAACAAAGCTGAATATATAACCCATCAATTTGTTATTCTAGTTTGAAGCTAAACTCGGGACATGCAGAACGGCAAAGATTGCAGAGGATATCATCATAGGGTCTGTCCCACTGCCAGGCACAATTGTCGCTCCAGTTACATCTGTTGAGGCTGGCGGAACAGTCCTAGCTAGCACCATAAGCAATGAAAACTCCCCAAGTTTTGTGCGGTCTCGTCAGCCAGGCCAAAGAGGGTATGGTGATAATCCTCCTTCGTACAACAGGATCGTGATGCCTGAGCAGTATGCAAATATCCGTAAGTGTTGTTTGTGTGTTTTTATGCATGTTATATTTGTGTTTTTTTCTTTTCTTTTCTTTTTTCTGTGTATGTGGGGGTGTAGGGGACTTGTGTAACCTACAGTTATCAGTTTCATTGAATGTGAAATAGATGATTCTACCTCTGCTACTAATTAATGAGATACATAGATGGATGTGAGAATGATCATATTGATGAAAAGTAGAGAAACAGGGAGGTAAAGTGAGAGAATGAGATGACTGATCAATCATAGAGAGGCAGAGGCAACTGCCGGCGTTATGGCAGTGTCTTGGATGCCTTACTGTGGTAGTAAGGTCAGTATGCCATCCACCAGGCCAGTAGTATTTATTTTGTGTTATTGTAGCATATGGTTGTGGAAAAGGTAAGCAATTTTTGGCATTTCCATCAAGTAAAAATCTAATAATATCAGTATAATTGAAGTGTGGTTTACTAAGGCCATATTCCTGATCTCATTTAACTTTATAACAACAAAAGTTTAACATGAAATGAAGGACTGCCACAAGAAGAGAGGGAACACTTTGCAGTGTATAAAGCATTTCTCTCTCTCTCTCTCCTTCCTCTCTCTGTATGTCTGTATCTCTCTCTCTCTTGTTTTCCTATGTTCAGTGTTATTGGGCTTTGTGATAAGATCATCTCAGTATCAGTCAGGAATTTGCTCATTGCTTTTGTATGACTATTATGGGATTGAAAAAAAGAATGACTTGTTATTAAAACTGTTTCTCCTTTCATACTTCCTTCCCCTCCCCTACCCACCATAAAAGTTACTTGTAATATCACCTCTCTTTTCAGCCCCACCTTCCTATGAGTCCTGCATCTTCGGTGGTGGACAGCAGAGTACGTTTGATAATGACAGCGACAATGATGAGAATGGTTTTGCCCCACATTACATCACATACAGAAGAAACTGAACAAATTTTCATACTTTGGGCAAGTGTGAACATCACTGGTTGCTATCTTGTATAAATGTTTGTCTATTAAGTCTTTTATACAGAGATTTTATATAATTTTTACACATGATTTGTTACTTTAATGCCAGATACTTGAAAGTTAAGTGGTTGTTAAGTTTAGAAGACTATGTATTACATTTTAATTATCATTTCCTGTAGAAATGAGGGATTTTCTATTTGCATTAAAAAAAAAAAAATACTCTGATTCTGCAAGGGGACAATGCTTGCTACTGTGTATGTGTGTGTGTGTAAAACACTGTACTGAAAATGTATTAGATTTGATATTTTGATTATTGATGAATAGCCATCTATTGATTGGTTAAATTTGTTTCATTGATAGTAGATCAGAAAAGAACACTGCTAGTTCATATAGATATAATTATAAATAAATATTTTTTTTATTGTTATTTATTGCATATTTGATAGGGATGAGCTTTATATGTATCTGATTTTATTACCTTTGCAGAGTAAGGTACAGTGTTCAAAATTAAGTATTAATTACATTTATTTATGAATCTCTTTTGCATGAAAGTTTTAAGTGTTTCTGTGTTGTTTACCTCATAGCCCCTGAGGGCTAGCACAAGATGTTGGCAATTTGCATGCGATAAACTATTATTAAACTTAATTATTGGCTTAGCAATAATGCCATATGTACTGTATGTTTCCGCATACAAATTATAATGTTGCAGAAAGAAATGTTTAAGAAATAAACCAGAAAAAAACACTCCGCTATGTCATCTTTTTGGTTTAATGTAATTTTATCTAATTTTATTTTTTTTCTTGTGATTTTTTTTAAAAGAAAATTTGTAGATATTTGGTTACAAATAATTAGTTCTTTAGACCTTTAGCTTTTTAGCTCCAGTATATACTCATTTTTCATTCTTCCTCCCTGTGACCCCATTAGACTTAGCATTTTGAATTCAGAAGCTCAGATTAGTATTTTTAAGAAACTTAACTATTCACCATAATATTTCTGTGATTCACAAGTTTAATCTCATACCTCATGGTGAAGGTACTTCAGAAGGAAAAGTGGAATATATTAGTGTTGAATAAGTATTATTGAATGAATTAGAGTTAATGGATGATAGATTGAATGCTTAATATCCCGGGGAATGAATAAGATCTGCAAAAGAGAAAGTTGGTCAAATTTGAGTTATTACATTCTTTGACTGTTGAATTTGAAACTCTTGATAAAAGTTGGTTTGCCAGTTTGACTTGATTGAGTAGAGTTTTGGAAGATAAAGTTGAATGAATTGGATTTATTTTATCCTAAATTAAAGAGCATAAACTGGAATTAGCCCATTAACAACAGATGATATGCTATTATGTCATGGGGAATTATCAGAGATGCTTGATGATGCATTATTCTGTCGAGAGTCTTTGTTCCAGGCATAGGCATAGAGTGGCAAACACTAATGTATGCCTGTCAAGAGCTGATTTTATTCTTAAAAATTGCCCATTGTTGTTGGATGAAGGTTTGCAGAAAAAGTTAAAAAAAAAATTATTGTTTAACTAGCTAGAATTGATACTACTAGAATAAACACTTATTGGAGACAATAGATATTGCAGAAGAGTAAGTTGATACAAATAATGCAACACTAAGTAACCAGGATGGTCAGTTAGCATTGCATTTATTTATTTGAAGCTTCAGACAAAATATCATATAATTTGATATAGAGACTAGTAAATGATTAATCTTATGAGAAAGTGTGCTTTATAATCTGAAATAGAAAGAAATAGAAATGTCGGGACACAAAGTTATTATTTGTGTGAAGGTATGTTACCAACTGAACCTATAGAACAAAGAAATACCTTTTTGTTTTTATTTCATTATACTATCATATTCTCAGGTTTTCTTTTGGTTTGTTGCTTGTTTGATTGATAAGATAAGGTATTAGTGTATGATGCGTAGGGCCATCACAAAGGGTGTACATAAACACTAAGAGAAGCAGTGTTTCTAGTGTCAAAAGATACCGCCCAGAATGAAGGAAATGAATGGTAGTGGTACTAGGTTCTGTACAGCGAAGAGAACCTTACTGTTTTTTTTTTTTCTTCTATATTTTGATTTATAATTTTTGTTTTTTTCTGGTTTTATTCAGTTTAAACAATAAGGATATCCATGGAAAGTTTTTTTTCTTATCTGTAGTAATTAGTTTATAGGTTTTTATACTAGATAATCTATATCACGATAATTCATATTAGAGAAATAGAAACAAAATTTCATTCACTATCTTTCTCTTTTTTATATTTAGACAAGACATCTTCATATCTTGAGGGTTCTTGGAGCACATATTCAAGGTTCTGCTCTGTAAAGTGCTCCTCAACACAAGCAAAATAGTTGGAAAACTGGTGTCGGACGGAAAACCAGTGCCACTACCTATAGCAGTGTGTAGTTTAAAATTGACGTTTTATTATATTCCCTTTGTTTTGAATAGTTTGTAAGGTTAAGCTTCTCATTTACCTCAGTGACTAATAACTGTGCAATATTTTGACTTAACAAGTTTTGTTTGAAGTATTAAGATGGTGTACCAAGCAGACAGTGCATATGTATATTTAACTGATAGAATTAAGTAAACTACATAAAATTACTTGTCAGATGTAAATGTCCACACCAGTAATTACCAACCACATGTATTTGTTCATATTGAGGGAAAATCACATATTTTATACCACCAATCTCTGGAAGACACAAAAGGCGTTTCCTCAGTTTACAGCCAACCACTAGTGTTTATGAAATGTTTCATAAGACAAAATATTTGCTTTTCAATTTTGATTTTGACTTGATTTTGTTTATTTTTATTCATTTGTATATATTTTCCTACCATATGTGGTATTTTCAAATTGTACGTTTAATTTTTATTTTATTTTCCCTGTTTAGGTTCACCCCTATTCTACAGGGCATATCTTGTGATATTTTTAGCCATTAAAAAAAAAACTATTAGGAGGTCTCTTAGGAGAAGAAAAGGAATACTTACTGTTTTATTGTTATTGTTATTAGCTACTTACCTACCTATTTGTGCTGTGTGGTGCAGCGGTAGCGATCTCGTCTAGCAATCTTGCTGACCTGCGTTCTAATCCCTCGCCACCAGTGGATGGTAACCCCGGCCATTCCTTGCACACAGGGGATAATTTAGAAGCAAAATAAAACAGACAGTATGTCACACCAAGAATATCCATTGTAATAAATGGAATCAAACTAAATTATTATTATTATTATTATTATTATTATTATTTACCTACTCATATATAAAGGCATGTACTTTGCAATTGCCCATTCCCTCAGGTGTCAGTATACTTTGCATATAATTTCTTTTTGTGCATCTAAAAATTTGAAACTTGTGCAGTAGAACAATATGGTTTCTCTGTATAAAGAATGGGTCACATCAATGTCTTAATACTGTGTTATTATGTGTTCACTAAGTGTGTTTTTTTTTTTTTTTTTCCTTCTTTTCCCTTTTTTTTTGACATATTTTCTTCTCTCTTGTTTTGTTTTGTCTTATTCTTCTCTGTCCTCTACTCCTTGTTTCCTTTTGTTGTTGTTCTACAGCTTAATGGTTCAAAGGGGAAATAGAGCAGTTAAAAATATTCTAATTGTAGTGTGGAATGTTTAACCCGTTTTATATATAATGCAGGAGGGGGACAGGCTGAGAGCATGGTCAGGATGATCTCAGAAAAAGTGGAAGGATGTCAGTGAGAGAATGATGACATAGCTCATTAGACTTTAGCTTGGCATTAATTTTTGATATGCAGCTCAGACCATCTGTCATCAACGTATTATTCTAAGATTTCTAGCACAGATTACAAGGTAAATGCTGAAAAATTGTCTTGATATCTACACAGTTAATGGATATGCTATTTTTGCCAGTATAATTTGAAATGAAAGGCAAGGAAAAGGACATATTTCTTATCCAGTATGTAATTTATGGGAATTATTCAGATTTTTAATCATAATCCTATAGTACACACTTTTGTATCTTTGTTAGATAAATCATACTATAGTGCATCCATTCTTAGGATAGGAAGAGCTGACAATTCACCTTAGGATCTAGGGTACTGATCTCTTTTTTATTCTGATCAGCAGACATATAGTACTTATACTATATATGTATTTTCAAACTTGTATACTGCAATCAGAGTACTCCAGTGTATAGTGAGTTACCAATTTTTCCCCTCCCAAGACTGAATGGAATATAGGTAGGCTTCTGTCAGTTGCAACTCTAGAGTTGCTTGCAAATGGTGCCATTTGTAAGATTACTATTTTTCTCAGGGTCATATTTGCCTCTCGGCTAACCCATAGCTGTATTACTATTAATCATTTCTGCCATCCCATGTAAAGTACAAAGAAGTGGAGTTGAGATCTCTTTGGTCACATGATAGAGAGAAAGGAATTTATATTAAGGGTCACGCAAGTGCTTATCTGTTAATTAAGGTGAATAGATAGTGTTTCATAAAAAAAGAATACTCAAGTGTAACAGAGACACAACTTATTGAATTGGTATTGTTGCTTTGGTAATGGTTATAAACTAGAACTTTCTTACATGTCCATTCAATGTAGTAAGAAGTTTTTGTATATACCATTTATTTTTACATGGTAATGGCTATGGAACAATACATATGTAATCTTAATTTTGTATTTTTGTAAGAAAAAAAACAACAACCATTGTTTCATGTTGTTTATTCAGTAGAAGGAATAGTATTAATCAGTAGTTTTACTAAAGTGGATTAGTGTCGATCAATTGTGATCATTGGCTGAATTTCACAGAAATCTACTATAGCATGGCAACCATTATTTCCTGTTCTCAAACACAACACTTCCATTGTAGAAAATTAGGCATCATGAGAGCAGAAGTTTATATGTTCTATGGGGCAACTGTGATAAACGACTTTGAAAAATGTAATTTGCAATTTTTCTACATCTATTTTTATGTTACTGATGAGTGGCTAAAGATGCATAATTTTTTACATGTGTGAATATTTGGATGAAATTGAAGGATATCCATGTTAGAAATCTTTTATACAGGAAAATGCTATATATATTATTATTATTTTTTTTTTTTACAATAGGCAAGTTAATGAAATTATCACTGTTGCACAATGATGTAATATTTTATGTGTTAAATATGAAAATTTAAGTTTCATATTCTTATATTTGTATTTATCATAAATGGTAGATGGTTTTGCTATTAAGCAAGTAGACTCATTTAAAGTCATGCTTTTTGTGTATTACATAAGTGTGCATTTGTCATTTTATACCTATTGTTTTCCTTTTGTCAGTTATATACTAAATGTATTTATGTTTTCTCTACATTATTGTAGTTATAGAGACATAATGTACAATTTTGCTATATGAATAGTAAGATATGAAAAACAGGCTCATGTTTGGAAAATGTGTAAGCCACATAAACCAGTGTGCCTTGTTCACCATGTTAACACAAACAAACAAAAGAGTAAACAAGATGACTGATGTGACTTTTGAGATTATCCCTTATTCATAGTTTTTGCAAAGTATGGGCAATGAAAACAATCTGGTTATGCAGAAACTTGACTGTCAAACTATTTATTATTCTTAGAGAGAAATGCCTGATATTTATAGCATAACTGGCAATTATAAAAAAGAATAAATAAAAATCCTGGTAATTTTAAAAAATTATAAACATTTATTACGTATAGTAATTTTTAAAATGTGCATGTAAAAAGACTGAAAAAATAACTGTAATGGTTAGCTATTGTAAAACTACTAAATGATTGTAAAGACTTACATTCAATTCCAAGGAAAAATAGTTTTTTTTTCTGTCTCTCTGGTCTGGTGTCAAGATGCTGTGGCAACTACCCTAAAAAGCATAATCGGTACATTCCAACTGAGTTGAGTCATCGTTTTTAAATTAAACAACAGCCCATCAGAACGAAAAACGGGAGAAAAATCCCCAACCATCAATTGCCAGGGCCGGATCCAGGATTGTTAGAAAGGTGGGGCGTAACCCCTAGCCGAGACGATTGCGGCTAGGGGTTAATTGATAGAAAGTTTCTATCAATTATCCCTTCTATTGCTGACTGGGACTTTTCCTACCTATATCCCACATCTTTCCCTGATGATGTGTAAAAAATTCCTGGTCCAAAAAAAATCATTATTTGCCAAAAATCCCCCCCTGGATCCGGCCCTGATTGCTGTAACTACCTATTACCCCCAACCCCCTAATCCTTACGCGCAGGACCTCCTTCCAAAGCCGAATGTTTCGTGCCGTGCCCTTACTTACGTAACAGGCCCATGATCATTCCGTGCTTCATAAAGTTCGTCAGCGCATGCGCAGTGACACTGGCGTGCTGTACGATACCGCAATTCTTAAAAAGCCGAATGTTTCGTGGCTTGCCCTTACTTGCGTAACAGACCCATTGACTTTTGCTTACTTTTGAACTATTTTAAGGACCCATAATTTATATATGAAGTAAAAAAAAATGATATTAATAATCCATGATAGTTGTACACATACCTGTCAGCACTTCGGCTAATACAATTAATTTATATGCACATTCACACAACAGTTTTTTCTTAATCCAAATAGAGATAAATAATCATATGATAAAAACTAAGATGGAAATTTAAATTTTATTTTAAAGAATGCTTATCTGTTTTTACAGATGGCATCTACTTCAAACCCTAAAACAATTGCTCATGAGAGCAAGTCTGCTTTAGTCTGCAGTGTGGGATCTTGCAGGGAGAAGATCAGATCTATAGCACACGATTATTGCCCTAAACATGCCCCTGTGCTTCTTCGGGCTGTTTTGATCCGCGAAATGTTCTACATGCCAAAAATGGTTGCAGGTAGTACAAATGCAACCTCCAGGGGATCCACTATCAAAAGAATGGAAGCCAATCAAGAAACAACATTGAAGAGCAGCTAGGAAGACGAGAGTCTGGACCTGTTCTTCCTTGGGCATCTTCAGAACTCTTCAAGCTTTTCATGTCCTCAGCCGAAAAGGTGTCGCGATTTCCTCAGAATCTTGTCTCTGCTCCAGCAATCCAGTTCAGTCCCAAGCTTCTTGTAAATCACCTACAAAGGCTCATCATGGAAAGCAATCATCTCGGGACCAAAAACGAACAACATTTCAGTTAGTAACAAGAGTTACTAACTGAAATGATTGACCTTTCACCTAATTCGCCTGAAAGTCTAAAGCATTCATCCTGTCACTCTTTTCCAAAATCATCACAAAGATCGTTTCAAATTGCAGGAAGTCCCTTGTCTTCAACAAGTGAAAAGTCTTTGACCAATCATTCATGCAATTACTCGCCTCCTCAAAAAAAGATTTCTATATTCTGTTTCACAACCACAGAGGCATGATGATAGAGAGAAAAATCTTGAATCTGAAAATAGTTCATCTATTCAGACATCTTGCAATAACTATGTTGCAGAAGAGCCCCTTCAATATCCAAGTGGAGGTTGGATGAAAATTCCAACTCACTGGCAAGTAGAGCAAAATAATGATGGATAAATAGTTGTTTATGATAGAATATCAAGAGAAGGTCAGGAAGATCTTGTTCTTATTGACTATGTGGAAGTCAGAATATTCGAGAACTTGGGAACAGAATGTGTTTTATGGCGACCAAAGAAAGTGTCACCAGAAAATTCAACTGTTCGGTGTGCTTCAGCTGCAACTGACATGGCGCAAGCATTGTCAGCCATTGCTTCTTTAGTAGCACCACCAGCTGAATCTCCGTTGGTCCGTTTTGAGTCAGCTCGGCCTCGCCATGCAGTACTTCACATTCTGACTCCTCAGATATCACCTTTAATACCTGTGGGGGATTTACGGAATTGGTGGCTTGTACGTGTTACACAAAAAAATGCTGCTAAACCTAGTTCATCTGAAGGACCTGTGTCATCTGTGTGTGGTCTACAGTGGCATATGGATTCTGAACAAATGATGCTTTCTCAGTTTCTTTCTGCACCAAAAATTGGATTTTTCTCCTCGACCAAGAATACCAGACAACAGTTTATTGTTGGCAGATCATTCAAC